ATAAAGATAAAGATAAAGATAAAGATAAAGATAAAGATAAAGATAAATAAATATTACGATAAATATAGAGTAAGATAATGATAACCATAAAGGTAAAGAAAGAGATAAGGAAAAAGATTGAGATTAAGATTAAGGTTATTGTGCATTATTATGCAAAAATATACACATAAAATATGGTGATACATATGTATAAACCGGTATTAGGAAGAACTTTTACTTCAGTACTTTTACTTTGTGGGGAATAACTTTTTTTTTAGTTTACACCCTGATTTTAGGACATAATCTGCTAGCCAAGCTGCTCGAAGAAACAACTTGATAAATAACGCCCTAATGTACATAGGTACAGACAATGGAGCATTTGAATTTTAACATTGCGACCGATGAAGAAACCAGCTAAATAAATATACATTTCACTCAACAAGATACATAAACAATAAAATAAAAGAACCAAGTGGAATAAAAGCAAAAATAAAGAAGAACAAGAGCAATCGAACAGTCCGACACATTATTAACACGACCAAAGATATACCAGCGAACAAAGAAAGAACAGAACAGAAAAGTAACGAAAGGAAGAAATGTGAGAAGATAGCAATAGTGTGGCAGTGTGGTTTTCGCAACCAATAAAGTAACGAGAGAAAATCGATAGAAAGCAAAAGAAAAAGTTTGCGAATTTCCTGTTGCTGTTGCTGGACATATTTACTATGATGTATATGTATATGTACATTTGTATGTATGTAAATATACACCAACACCAAATACAAGTGGTAGAGTAGGTACAACGCAGTAACTTGAAGTGGAGTGGGATGCGGCGCTGTTTGGGACATGCAGCGCGGAGTTAGCTGCCCGATGGGGCAACTACTATTTTAAGGTGGCAAGTAGCAACAACAAGTTGAAGGTGGTGGTGGTGGTGACGGTGACGGTGCTGAAGTTTTGTTGCTTCATGATGATGCAGTTGCAATTGCGTTGTCAGTTGTGTGCGCGTATGTATGTAAGTAGCTGTGGCGAACTTCGTCGTGTTGGCAAGTGATGAGCAATGAGCAATAATAGCTGGCTGAGTAAATTGGCATTCTTTGAGGCTACATATTACTGACTAAATCGAAGAAGATTGTCTCAAAAAAAGCACGGAAATTAATGAGGAGAATGAAATACATGCATACAAAACAAATGCTCTGCGTGGTACCTAAGACTTAAGACAATAAAGAATGTGCGAAAGTTCCTTAAGGGGTCTTTGGACGCTGCGAAAGCTCATTAAGGGTAGGGCTGCCAGACGTCCCGATTTTCCCAAACATGTCCCGGTTTTAGACTATTTGTCCCGGTGTCCCGGTCCAACTTTAAAATGTGCCGGGTTTCGTTTAAGTGTCCCGGTTTTCGATTTGATTGCACAAATTTTGCATAAAAATGACTACACTGAGAGATAAAACGCGTTGTAATATTAAGAAAAATTGTATGAATTTACTGGGGGAAAAAACGCATAGTAAACATGAATATTTTTTATTTGACTATCGTTTTAAAATGTTCGTATTTAACAACAATACTTTCATGCCACGCACACGTGGTGTTGAATCAAACTAAACATTTGAATGCACATTTACATGTCTGGCTGTAGCTGAGTGCAGGAAGATGCTTGCCACAATTTGCTAATTTCCAGAGCATCAGGGTTCAAATCCTTTTACAGGCAGCATGGAATTTAAATATTTTTTTTTAACTTAATTATGAAAAAGCATCCGTTAAGTGCAAAGCGCTTCATTTTAATATTGGCGTATTTCAATTGAATAATTCTATACTAAATACTAAAATTTATTACGAGTTGGGTTGGTGCTCTTTCATATGCGGATTTTTTTTTTAATTTAGCACGTTTTGCACAAGCAATAGTTGATGATTAATATATGTAAGTATGTACCTAAATACGTTAAAATGACATGCATAGAGTTTTACAATTATATTAAGCAAAAGCCAGAAGTTTTGAAACAAGTTCACAGCAACGAAACTGATATTTTAATGTTACCTTGTATATAATTTTTTTTTTTCGTGAAACCTAAATAACCTATAAGTAAGTAAAGTGCAAGTCTGAAATTACCAGAAAATTTCGTTGATTTTTTGCAATTATTTATTTTTTGCTGACAATGTCTTCCACATACAAAAAAATTTCGAACATAGTTTGTATGGAAGAAACTCTCAGTAAAAACAATACCAAAAATCAACTAATTTTTATGGGCTGCAAAACTTCATTTTCAAAATTTTTATAAAAAAGTCTGAATAGAAAGTTGCGAATTTGTATGCAAATTTATTGCATTTTCCCGAGTTTTGCACAAAGTTTAGAAATTTTGTTTTTATGTTTTCTGATGTATTTAGTATAAACTGCATTTTTATAAGGAAGAAAAAAGGTACATGCATTGTGAAAAATTCTCTGTGCTTTAGTTGTGATAAATTGTTTTGTTATGCTGGTGTACGTTGTAATGATCTCATGATCTCATGTTTTTATGTTTTTGTTTTTGTTTGTCAAAATACAATTTTACTACATCCTTTCGTACATAATTTTTGTTGAAACGAAAGGGAAGGGAACGAGAGGTCTCTCCCCCCTTAAGTGTCCCGGTTTGGCAACGGAGATATCTGGCAGCCCTAATTAAGGGGTCTTTCGTCGCTGCTCGCTACATTCAGTGCCAAAACTGCAAACCATCTCGATCAACCGTACCATACCGATTTGTGCGGGCAAAAATATTTTTATGAATATTTCAACTCGAAATGCTTAGAAAAGACGTGGTTTGACATATAGAATAGTAAATATTTAAAATCAAGTAAATAGAAGGGAACGACGTCCAATTATTCTACCAAAACTATGAAAATAAAGTTGCTTAGCGTTTGACATCGATAGACCCCATATTGCCGTGTTCTGATTGTAAGAACACGCATATTTACGTGTTCGTCTCGGCGAGGAGAAGGTTTATATCTAGGTTAAAACATTAACAGAGTTGCCACCACTACATTTTTATAATAATAACAGTAATATAACAGTCTTATTTATTGTGAAGAAAATTTTGTAAGTTTAACTTGGAATAAATTACATAGCGTCCTCAATTACTGATATATCGGAGTTTTCGTATTTTCAACGTATAGCTTTTCCATACCAAGGTTATTAAGTGCACCGAGTTTGGTAAAAATTGATAAATCGGTTACTGAGATATATATTCGTGGTCATAAGTGGGCGGCGCCACGCCCATTATCCAAAAAAATTATAATAATCTTATTTAATCATTGTTTATTTATATTTGGCCGTTAATTGAAAATTCTGTTGATATTTTTTTGATAAATCAGTAATTACTGA